CCGTCACACCACGTGAAAGTGAAACCTGAGCGGTGAACTAATTTTCGGCAGCCGAAATTTCGGTGCATCTATAATTATTGGCGACATCAGAAATGGATATTATATAATAGATGCTTTTTTGACAATTTTAGCAATTTAAAAATATGAAAAAATGATTTTTTACACGGCACCCCTGCTCTCGACAGCACCCCGGTTGGGAAACACTGGTCTAGGACAACACACCGGACACGTCGCGTTCAGTTCAAGCGGTGGTCTAAAATTGTTTATTTAATCACCAAATGGGTAAAAGTTCACTTAAAGAATGATTACAGACAGTGGCATAGACGAGTTTGAAGTTCGGTATTTAAAAAAAAAACAGAGCAAAGGGGAAAGAAAAAGAGCGATCTATATTATAGTTCTCTAGTCTATATGAAGCACACAGACTTTATTAGAGCCACAGGAAGACAAAAGTTTCACTGAAAAAAGCAAAAAAACATCGGTCAACCTCTATTAAATACGGCACTGCTGAAGCAGGATATGAAACGGTTTTAATTGAAATGTTCACCCAAACATTAAAATTTGCTGACAATTTACTCATCCTCAGGCCATCCAAGATGTAGATGAGTTTGCTTCTTCATCAGAACAGATTTGGATAAATGTAGCATTAGATCACTTGCTCACCAGTGGATCATCTGCAGTGAATGGGTGCCGTCAGAATGAGAGTCCAAACAGCTAATAAAATACATCACGATAATCCACAAATAATCCACACCACCCCAGTCCATCAATTACCATTGTGTGAAGTGAAAATCTGGAGTTTGTAAGAAACACATTCATCATTAAGGCGTTTTAACTTGAAACTATTTTTCCAGTAAAAAGTCATCTCATCTGAATCAGGAGAGAAATTTGCACAGATTAAGCAGCGTTTACAACAGTCCAAAACAGCTCTGGGTGGACTTCAATGTAAGAGGACAACAGGAGATGGACTTTTTCACTGGAGGAAGCGTTATTATGGATTTTGACTAGAAACAGCACTTTAAAGTTAAAATGCCTTGATGGATTTGTTTCTTACAAACAATTTTTTTATTTAAAAAAAACGTTAATTGATGGACTGGAGTTGTCTGGATGATTTATGAATTATAGTGATTTTATAGAAATTTCCATTTTTGGGTGAACTATTCCTTTAAGAGACAAAATTTCCTCTTTCGTGTAGACATGATAGACTTCAGGCACTTTTTTTTTTTTCTTTTCCAGGTGCATTTTAATGTTGTATGTTATTAAGAATGGCAATGACATGATTGATCGCCCAGTCAGTGCTGTCAGTTGTGACCAAATGTAATGTGGTGTTTTGGGTTATGTTTCTTGTTCATGTTTTCATGTCTTTTATTTTGGAGTTTAATCATGGTCCCTGTTTGTGTCATGCTTCCCTTGCCCTTATGTATTCATGCCATTGGTTCTGTCAAGTCTGTTCATGTCAAGTCAAGTCTGTTCATGCCTCGTCAAGTCAAGTCTGTTCATGTCAAGTCTCGGATTATTGTTTGGATGTTTGGATCACACTGTAAATAAACTGCACTTGGGTTCTTCACTACGCTCGCCTTCAGTGGACTGAATCGTTACACCAAACTCCTAAAATGTAGCCTACATTTCAAAGTCTTTAAAAATTAGGAGTGTGTCTATAAATTATGGCACACTCTTAATTTTATAATAATTACTTTATATTAATGAGGCTAGAAATTCAACCCAAACATTTAAAATTACAACACCATTTGATAAAGCCTGTTTATTTATGAATGATAATCCAATGATTTAAATACTACAAATAAAAAATAATTCATCATGTGATTTTTCTTTTATATATTAACTTAATGGAAGCAAACCAAAGAAGTAAGTAAAAAAAAAACAAAAAAAAAAACTTCACATTATGTACCATTTGAGATGAAAACAGACAGTACTACATAAACAAATTGGACTGGGTGAGTCACGTTTCACCCAGCCCTGCACCTCATCACGATAAGAAGATGTGTTTGTGATTATTGCAGCTGCAAATGCCTTGACTATGATAACATTACACAGACATTGCTTCGGAGTTGCTTCACATTGTTTTGAACGCACAGTAAAAATAGGCACATTTCTGGTGACAGCTCGAGGGAATTGATCTGTAAACAGTGATGTTCGGTCATTTCAGCATTTAGTCGGACACTAAAATCTTGACTTGTTTTCTTCCCCCAATAGGAAGTCCATCTCACTCAGGCTTAATTTCAACTTCAGGCCTTTGGATCACAATTCATTCTGGACCTCACATTAAACAAGTAAATATTGCTAAGTCAAATCAGTATTTCTTCTGTTTTGTCATTTCACTATACCTATGTGTGCAGACTCTGTTAGGCCTCACACACTCATGACATGCTCATAAACTCATGCTTAGGCCTCATCAACTCATGACTGTTGATGTGCCAGACTACTGATGTGTTGTGTCTCTGTGAATCTAACACATGCACTTATGGGAATACAGAGCCTCTCGTTTGTGTTACTGGAAGCAAAGTTTCTGTGCTGGGATCCATTTCCATTCAGCTTCACGGAATTACACTGGAAATAACACCATATCCTTTTTTTCTCTTTTTTTTTTTCAATATCAAGTGGTGTTGGCCGCGAGAATGGTTATTGCAGGTTTTGTACCCAAAACACTAGATACTGTAACTACACCCTTCAATAATCCAGAAGCTACAAAGCCAGACATTCATTTGAATGGAATGTGTTTGTTTGTGGTTAAAACACACTCATGCACACAGTATCTCATGTGAAAAAGAAGTGAGCTCAGGGACCGTTCACACAGAACGCATTTCTCCATTCCAGTGCACTACTTTTCCTTTGTTTTTCTATGTAAACATGTGCTAGACAGACGTATATGACCATTGCGCTTGCGTCTCACATCTTGTTTTTGAGATGCCGTGTCAAGTTAAAAGAATTTAAACTTTTACACGCAACGCCGTTAATCAATGTCGGTTCCAAAACAGTGGACCAATCAGAAGACCCTGGAGGCGGGGCAACCGTTACAAGCTTTTGTTTACAGTAGCAAGTTGGCATGGCAACTGTTTTATTTGACGGCAGCATGGTGGAGGAGGCACTTATAGTGGCTGTGTCCAGATATCACAATCTGTTTCTTTAAAAAACGAGCCTGATATTCTCTATCTATTTTGCTGTTTGGCTTTTTTGTGTTATTTCCATTATTGCATTACATCTCAAAAGTTCATCTCGATACCTACGCGTTCTGCACTGCGTTTAAAAAAAAAAAAAAAAAAAATTCTTGAGTGCTGCATCACACATTTTTAGATTACAAGACGCGTTCTGTGTGAAAATAACCTCACTTAACCAACCGGCAACTAGGGACACGAGCAGGGATACAAAACGAACCAACACAGGACAGAGAATAAATAGGGAAGGAAATTAGTAGGGTAACAAGGGAAAACAGGTGGGGTAAATGAACCAAAAATTAGGTAACATGAGGGGCTGGGTGAAGACTTATAGACAGGAGAACACATGACACTTAGGCCTTGTTCAGACTGTCAGCAAAAATCTGATTTATTTTTTATTTTTTGCATATTCAGATATTAACCAGGGGTGCGTTTCCCAAAAGCATCATTAGCTAACTATGGTCGCAAGTTCCATTGAACCATAGTTGCTTTTGGGAAACACACCACAGATGGGTTTTTGAAAGTCTGAACAGCAAAAGAAAAAAATTGAAATCAGACTTTGATTCAAACCACTTATGGAGGTGGTTTGAAATGCGATTCCAATCAGATTTGTCTCAGTCTGGATGCTCTGGCTGCTTAAATTGGATTTCAAATGGTCATTTGCGTTACCATTAATGTGACACACAACTTCAAAATGTCTACTGCATCAGAGTTTTTCTTGTGTGACAGAGAAGTTCTGCACTGTGACTCGACAGGGCGCTTGTTTGGAGATTGAGATGATGCACCTCCATTTTTCCTGCATCTGTTTTGAAAGGCTCATCAAAAACATGGGTACACCTGTGTCGTAACAAAACGACACATGCAGATACGTTGGTTATGTCTGGACACACAAATTGGATTTAATCACTTGCAATTAATAGTGTGGACAGTCTGCCTAAAAATATCTGATTTGAGAAAAAAATCAATTTTGACTGCAGTCTGATGAACAAAGCCTTAGAATCAAACAAACTAAGCCATGTGCCCAAATGAGACATCAAACAAGAACACACAGCCAATGAGAATTCTCACAAGCCACGTGTTCACACAAAACAAGACATGAAAGCACGCGGCCACGTGCTACACTGAATATGACAACACAAGAACCCCCCAAAAAACACACAAGACAAGAGCGCACGGTGAGTGAAGAGACAAAACATGGAGCATGAATGGTTGAAACCCAGCACTGAACCAAAACCGAACTAGTCAGGAGTGCCGGGTTCCAAACACCACGCGCATGCAACATATCACACGGACAAGAGACCATGCGGCCCAAGCAGTGTTGCCAAGTCCTCAGTTTTACTGCAGGTTAAAGCAATCTCCCCCCAACCCCCCGGAACGCGATTTTGACTGATGTCAAAACTGTGAAAAAAATACGTGATTGGGATAGTTTTGGACTAGTTTTTCAAAACAATTGGGCTGGTTTTGTTTCGCAGACCTGGCATCCCTAGGCCCAGCCACATACTCACACAAAGACAAGAAGATAGGAGTGTCAGGGCTCTGTCACCAATCTAAGAATAAACAGACCGAAGTGACAGAAACCTGACATTAAAAGTGTATTAAAGTATATAAGTATTCTTTTTAAAAGTAGTGTGCATTTGCACCAATGATTTCTCTGGAAATTATACTTCCAATTAGGAAAAAAAGTTGATTATTGGTATTTAGTGCTTACTAAGGCAAACTATTGCTCAAAGGTTCATTTGTGTTCAGGGCTTCAATGATGTTGCAAAACAAGTTGCTTGTTGATGACTAGAAGTGCTATTACTTTTCTGAGCAATTTGATCTTTGAGTAATTTTTTGCTATGATAAATCGAATGAAAAAAAAAAAAAAACTAAATTCATTGTCATGGCTCTTCTGCTGCACCTTGCTCCTGAGTTAATTGTGGTTAGCAATTCTGACTCGAGTCCTGAGAGAATAAACATACTGTAATTGTCAAAGTGGAGACTAAAAATGCTGAAATTGATATGCGGTTTACCTCCCAGACTCACTCTCTCTCTCTCTCTCGCAATGCCTCTTGTGTGTGTGCGGGTAGAAAGTGAATATGTGTGGCCGGTGTTGTGGTTGTGCGACAGTCTTTTTTTTTTTATCATAGAATTTTTGTACTCTAAGTACTCCAGTAGTCATCCTCAAACTCGAGGTCAAGTTCCTCTTCCCAAGCCCTGATTATTTTAATGTTGTGAGAATTATCCTTTGACAGGATAATTGCATATATCTTAGAGATAATCCCACCCATATGAAGATTCAGTTTAAATGCCTCCTCCCATGGAGACTTTGTAGGCAGAGAGGGAAACCCAGAGAGCAGAGAGGAGACACAGTGCCTAATTTGAAAGTACCGAAATAGGTGAGAGGAAGGCAAATTAAATGACGATAATTCAGAAAAACTTGCAAACACATTATTAATGAAAAGATCTTCAAAGCATTTCAGACCTTTCTTTTCCCAGAAAGAGAATACGGAATCTGAAAAGGGAGGAAGAAAGAGATGATTATTTTGTATTGGAGCCATGGTTGATGCCGAGGTAAATTTAAAATGACGTCGAAATTGAAAGAATATTTTAAGAGAAGAGCATACTATTGGATTATCCGTGTAATGTGAAGGGGACATGGGGAGAGAAGAGAACACCATAGCAGGGAGAGATGTTGAAATACAAGACTTAGCTCCAATACGGTGCGCTCTATCCAGCAGCGGGGGAGTGGGAAAGATTTCTGACCCGAGCACGTCCTGGAAAAATTGTGACATGAACGTAACCGGATCGCTCCCTTCTGCTCGCTCGGGGATGCCGATGACCTGGAGATTGCAACGCTGAGAGCGCGACTCCAAGTCCTCCACTTTATCGGTGAGTTGCTTGTTAGCCGAAGTCAACTTTAGCACCGTCTGTTCCAGTGCTACAATGCGGTCGCTGTAATCGTTCAAGTGCTGATCAAGCTCGTCAATGTGCCTTCCTTGTGATTCAATGCTTGATTTAAAACTCTCAAAGGACGCAACAACCGGGGCAAGAGCAGAATCGATGGCTGCTTTCACCTGTTCTGCGATGGTAGATGATAGCTCGGAGATCAGAGTGACACGGAGATTTTCCAGATCCAACGGCAGCTTGTCACCATGGCTCTCTGTCACGGTCGCTGACGATTTAAGTTTACGTTGCCTTTCAGAAACCATAAATCCTTCCAAGCTACAATTGAATAAGTAGTTTGAAAAATAAACCACCAAGTGTGCTTAACGTTTCAGGCAGCCTGAAAGATATAATAGAACGACAAAGTGCTCGGGAGCTAACTTCAAGCGCGTCTTCTCACTTACATGCTCAGCTGGAAGTCTCGTTGTGCGACAGTCTTGATCTAAATATCGCCTTCCCACTGCATGCAGCCGAGTGACTGTAGCTCAGAGAATCCTGCTCCGGCCGCACCTGTAAAACATCACTCATCACATCCCTCCATCCCAGCCTCACCCTGCTCCCATATCCCGCTTCAGCAGACACACTGTATCAGATTAGATTCACTGAGGTGACATGCTGAGGTGTTTTATCGTAGAACTTTGAACTGTGTTTGGTTTGGTGTGTCTTGATTTTGGAGAAGAGTGCTGGGGTGCATTTCCCAAAAGCAACTATGGTCACAAGTTCCATTTAACTCTGTTGGTAAGGACAGAACTTGCGAACATAGTTGGTTTTGGGAAACGCACCCAGGTCAGTTTGTATTCCTCACATTAGCATTTTAGCATGGAATTAGCATTTTAGCATGGGTTCCCACAGGAATTTCAAATGGGTTTTAGAATGGAAAACAGTTCTGAATTTAAAATACAAATGAAAAGTAAAATAATGTCTGTAGTTGACATTACTTGAAGAGACTTTCACATTTCTTCTACAGTATAAATTAAACACAGTCTGACCTCATATGTGAATTCATTTGAAATCATTGTCTTCTTTACAAACATACACCACAATTCAAAAGTTTGGGTTGAGTAATATTTATTAATTTTTTTGTTTGTTTGTTTGTTTATTATCCCAAAAAAGATACTGAAAGAATTCTGAAGAAAATGTATCAGTTTCCACAAAAATATGAAGCAGCACAACTGTTAGCATTGTCTAACATT